CGGGGGCGGCCCAGCCAGCACCAAGGGAGCCCCTGACAGGCCGCTGTGATGCCTGCAATGTCTCCTTTGAATCCCGAGCTGCAGCCAGGACCCACGTCTTTTCCCCAAGCCATCTGGCAACCCTGAGAACCACTAACTTTGGCCAGCCGATAACACTCATCAATAAGAACGGCACCAGCAATGGTGGATCTGGCAGCGCTGTCTCCCATTCTACTTCATTAACTGGTTCTGGAGGAGAAATGGTTATTGAGTCGCCTTCATCGATGGCCACCAGCAGCAGTTAAAGACAGATCAGGATTGGTCTGCACACAGACTATTCTTGGACCCATTTGGGCTCCTTGGATTTTAATAAGCAAATTTGAGTACTCAAAAAGCTAATAATCTGTAGTTTTTTTAAGTTGGCTTCCCCTGCATCTGCTAATCTCTGCTCGACCCTCACGGACTTCAAATTGAGTCCCCTGGAATTCTTTACACCACCTCACTATTTCCAGCCTTCTTCTCACTTAATCAGTTGCTATCTGATGAGTGATGAACACATCTCAAGTCTCCCTCAGTCCTTGCACACTTTGGTCCTAATCCTGTGGTTATATAATATTTTACTTCAACCAACTTCCTATAGTTTGTAAAGTCACTCAGCTTGCCATGTTTGAACTGCCCTACCTTACAGACTGATGTAAAGGCTTTTCCTCTTTGGAAGTCCAACTTTCACCACAAGGCCAGAAACACTTTTCAAAATAGTAACAGGAAAACATTAGTAACTCCCTGTTTGCGCCTGTGGAATAGTATTTCTTAAGCCTCCTTTCACTTCTAAAGCAAAGATTGCTCGGATATAACATTACTGACCCGAATCTTTAAGAGAGGAAGAACTGCTATTGACTGTCACCATTTTATTTGCTGTGTGACCTGAAGAGTGTGATGTCAACTCATTTGGGATATAAAAAGGTACTTCAGAGAGAATATGGCCATTGAATTGTCTCCATTTACCTGTTCATAGTTTTCATGACAATCCAAATAGACAGGGCAAAAGGAGGCAGAGGAAGAGTCCGGGCATAATGCACTTTGACACATTTTTACATTAAAAAGTTTTTAAGCATTCTAATGCAAGTGTCTTTTTTATGGAAAGATACATTAATGCATGTTGGATGCCTTAATGTAATTTTTTTTTTTTTTTTTTTTTTACAAACCGAACAATAAGCCTGCCGGTGCATTATATTATTCAAGAAGCCTACCTGGGAACAATTGGAGAAGAGTTCTGTTTCAAAATGTTTTTATATCCAAAATCTCTGAATATCATGTATCTAGCACCTAAAAAATCCTGCCTGTAAAGTTGTCAGCATTCTCTCGGCCAAGGACTGTAATTACTAGCTATCTTGTTTTTACAGCACATTTCTTTGATACTGTGGATTTCCCTTTCCACCCAAATGTGTATATCTCATTTTGGAATGCAGCTCTTCAAATCTGATGTAAGATAAATGTTTTCACTAACTGTAGGTGTCTGATAAATATGACAGCCTTAAGAGGAGACACCACCAGGTATACAAATTCAAGTTCAGGTGATCCTCATGTAATGTTAGTGAGTTAATTTTATCCACATCGGGCAGGGCGGGTCAGACGGATTTCATAAATGTTATGGTTTTGTTTGCCATGAATACATAAGACAAAGCTAATCTCTCATTTTATTAATTTTGATATTTATATAAATGACAATATATCCAGTTAAAACTGGTGAAACATTTTTATTTAGGTCAAAGCCAAACCCATAGAAATAAGAGAACAGGGATGGGCTGTTTCCCATACATTTTTGTCACCTTGTTTTGTTCTGCTTTTTTTAAATTCTGGTGATGTACATGCTGTGAAATGTACTATCTGAAAATCATGACAAGGGAGAAGATGGCTACCAGTATCCTTAGGGAAATAATGGATACTTATATTTAGGAAGCAAATTGGGAAACATATGCTGACAGATAAGATGGTGCTGTTGAAGGACATATACTAAAGATGTTTTCCTTCAATTTAATTTGTATATTAATATAACTATTGATAGTTTTAACAAAAATGCAAAACTAAACATGAGCTTTTGTAAAGAAAAATATTAAAAATGACTGATATCCCAAAGTAATCCTCCCTTTGTTTTCTGTCATTCAAAAGCCAAAAAGCAATCTAGAGGTTGACAGAGAGCAGGAGAGGTATTTGTAAATGCAAACTGTAAAGAACATCCCATGGCACGACACTTGCACTAGTCCACAGTTTTTGCACAAGCTACAGATAATTTCAAATGAACGTGGCCATTAACAGCGTTAAAGGCCACTAGGTGTGGTTTTTGAAACAAGGGTAACAAAGTCGTTTTTATGAGTAATAATTTGTACTCCTGTTGGAAACTGTATCTTGTGTGTGAAGCAAGGACTGGAGTGCTTGAACCTTAAGACTGGGATCACTCACACAGTGTTGCACTGTCCGAACTAAATACTTTTACTGGAGATCTGCTTTTTATTCTCTCGTTTCATTGTCACTTTGATTATCACTATTGTTATAACTGTACTACTACTTATATGATTTTATTATTACTAGTCACTGCTGGTTTTGGTTTTTAATGATCCATAATGGTTTTAAATGCCACCTCTCTGCTCAGAAGAGTATGATATTCCTTTGGATTTTGAACAATAATAGTGGCAGTGTTATGAATTGTTAGATTTTTTTTTGATTTTTTTTTATTTTATTAAGCTTATTTCTCCTCCTCACTTGTACCTGCCTTTTTGTGTTTGGTCTCCATTATACTTTCTTTGATATACAGAAAAAGAAATAAAATCAGTTAAACAAAGTGTGTAATTACAGTGCCTTTGGGCTATTTCTTATTCAGGGATGGGTCAAGAACTTTTTTAGTGTGGGGGCAGACTGGGGCACACACTCCAAGAAAGTGGACACATTTGGAAAATGAATACAAAGGCATTACTTTCAAATTTGAAACCCTGCTTTTAGGCGATAAACAAAAATATTTTATCTTTAAAGTTTTTGTTCACTAAGAAACACCCAGTGCAACTTCAAGTATTTTGATGGCCCGTTTTTTTATTTATACGTAGTGGTGGAAATGTCAACCTGACCACACTGTGTGTCTTCAGCAAGAGGTGCAGACAAAAACTTTATAAAGATACATTTCATTTTTTAAACATTTAACATTAAAAAACAATTGTATGCATGATGCACAGGGCCACACTAGCTTAAAAAGATATTACTAAAGAATTTTGAAACATATGATGTAACCT